TGTTTAAGGACTAAAATTAACAATATGTCTTATTTCAAATACATGTAAAAACGGCAGGGTGATCAAGTAAGGCTTACTATTATTCACAAGTCCTAGATTTAATGTTTATGCAGTAAACAAGCCTAACAACTTAAATAATCTGGAATTCAAATCAAAAGTCCACCAAAGAATACAGAGATTAATTGAAGACTGTGCATAAGTGGGACTCATTATGAAAGAAGCCTTACTATACATACCTTTCTATCAAACAAGAGGCCCATGGGCCACATTGCTCACCTGAGCAATGTGGATAGGGAAAAAGCAGAAATCAGTTTATACCCAGTAGTGGTCTAAACCAATCCTTAAAAGGGGAATGGTATGATTTAAAAAAATGAACAAACTTGAATCTTTACTAACTAAGGATGCATGTATATTTCTTTGATTACCGTATATACTCGCCTATAAGTCGGTTTTTTGGGAGTTAGTTTCTGGTATAAAACTCATTGTCCGACTTATAGGTGAGCTATCAAAAGTAAGGTATAAGATCAGTCCATCTGAAATGAAAGCTTAATATTAAATACAACCGACTTATAGGCGGACCGACTTATAGGCGAGTATATACGGTACCTGTGGCTTTATTGCCCTTCACATTTTAACTTACATTGTGGCCCCGCCCTATACCCCAAGGGGTTATGACTTAGACAAAATTGAATCTACACTACCCAAGAATGCTTCCATATGAACAGGACTAATCATAGCTTTGCTATTCATGAAAAGAATTTTTCTGCATGTAAAACTTGGATTCCATGTTGTGGCCCCGCCCTACCCCTTGGGGTTATCATTTGAACAAAAATTGAATGTCCACTGCCTGAGGATGCTTCTATAAAAATATGATCATTCATGCCTTTGCTATTCTTGAGAAGAAGATTTTTAAAGAATTTTTACCATATATTTCTATGTAACACTTTGATCGGCCATTGTGGCCCGGCCCAACCCCCGAGGGTCATGATTTGAACAAACTTGAATCTACACTACCTGAGGATGCTTCCCTATAAGTTTCATCTTTCCTGGCACAGTGGTTCTTGAGAAGAAGATTTTTAAAGAATTTTCCTATATATTTCTATGTAACACTTTGAACGGCCATTTTGGCCCCGCCCAACTCCGGGGGGTCATGATTTAAACAAACTTGAATCTACACTACCTGAGGATGCTTCCTTATAAGTTTCATCTTTCCTGGCACAGTGGTTCTTGAGTACCTGGTAGAAGATTTTTAAAGAATTTTCCTATGTATTTCTATGTAAATCTTTGATCCTCCATTTTGGCCCCGCCCTACCCCCAGGGGTCATGAGTTGAACAAACTAGAATCTTCACTACCTTAGGATAATTCCCTATAAGTTTCATCTTTCCTTGCGCAGTGGTTCTTGAGAGGAAGTTTTTTAAAGAATTTTCCTATGTATTTCTATGTAAATTTTGGTCGGCCATTTTGGCCCCGCCTTACCCCAGGGGTCATGAATTGAACAAACTTGAATCTACACTACCTGAGGATGCTTCCCTATAAGTTTCATCTTTCCTGGCACAGTGGTTCTTGAAAAGAAGATTTTTGAAACATACCATCAAATTTTTATAATTTCTTAATTATCTCCCCTTGAATAAGGGCGTGGCCCTTCATTTGAACAAACTTGAATCCCCTTGACCTAAGGATACTTTGTTTTAAGTTTGATTGAAATTGGTCCAGCGGTTCTTGAGAAGAAGTCAAAAATGTGAAAAGTTTACAACGACGATGACGACGACGACGACTACGACGACGACAACAACGACAGACAACGGACAAATTGTGATCAGAAAAGCTCACTTGAGCCTGTGGCTCAGGTGAGCTAATAACACTATAGACGAAATTCTCTTTACTTTTAATGAGGCCTAGTTGAAATGCAATGCCAACTGGCCAAAAACCTCATTGAGAGTGTAGGGCTCATATATATTAGGACATTTCTGAATGCTGAAGATGCTTTTAATTGTAGCTTAAATCATTTTATAAAAATTTTAAGCAAAGTTTATTTCATACAATTTGTTTTACTAAGCCCTTCCCCGTCTGCTTTTGTTTATGTTTACCAATATTATGTAATTGGCATTCTGATTTCCTGTCCATCAGTCATTGGTCAATAGGTCAAGAAACTAGTCATGTGACTTCTTATCTTTCGATGGTCCAGGACAGCGTCAGTACCAAGCTATTATTGTCTCCATTAATCCATAGGATTACTAAATAATCATCGACCATCCGATTTATCTTTGTGTGTATTTACATTCAGTGTACTTAAATTGTGTTTTTGACGATGTAATTCTGTG